GCTTTGACTGTTTTGCTGTCTTGTTTTTTGTCACCAAACTTACTAGCGATGGCCTCTCAACCTGCCTTCGATGGCCTCTAACCTAAGAGCGATGGCCTCCAACTTTTGCGCCTCGTTTTACTCAGGTTCCTTTTTTAACCTAGGCCGGCGTGTGGCAGCGCTATCAGTCCGTACGCATATCCATAAGTGTGTGTGTGTGTGTGTGTGTGTGGGGGTCGGTAGGGGGGGCGAGTTTTTGTGGAGGACAAGCCCACATGAAAACTAAATCTATGCCACATGCGCAGTGAGTTCATAGCTTTGGCAATTCAATATGGCTCAATATGTTCCATGCTCATGCTAAGTTCTTACGGTTTAAGAGCAATGTCTGGTTTCGATGCATCATCAAATGCCCTTCAAGGTTGACTGATGACAAGCTGAACCATACCCATCAAATTTGCTTGTCATTCTTTTAACAGAGCCACACTCTTTTCCTGCAGCTTGAGTGAGTGTTCGAAGACATGAAGCGCAGAGATGAAATCATCCTGGCACTCCAGGATTCCAGACTCTTGCTGATAAAGAATCGCCAGAGCTGCTTTAGGTAGGGCCAAACCTTGTCCTTGACGTATCCAACCTGGGATTTGATGCGGAAAACGCAAAGAACGACTGCATCAGCCCCATCATTCCACATCACAAAATATCTTGCAAACAAAAAAAAACTACGCAGAAAAGCCCATGCCACTTAGGGCCTCTTCAAAATGGAAGAGGTTTGTAGCATCTGTGGCCACAGCGGAATAGGAGGTCACGATCTCTGAAGGAGGAAAGCCAGCCTCATGTTTCTGCTGCAGGGCCCTTTCATGAAAAAGCGCCGCCTTCTCATAGTGAGTTGCTGCACCATGGGCATCTCCAAGGGCATCCAGAAGTTCAATCTTCGTCCGAGGCCTGAGAGTGAACAAAAAGGCGAAGCCCGGGGCTCCGAAGGAAGCCCGAAGCGCCCGGAGGGTGAAGCAATGAAGCATGAGGGTGCGAGGTGGCCTGGCTTTTCTATGTTTATCTTCATCCCAAGTGTTTGACGTACTGTTCATCGCTCTTGTGCAGAGACCCCGCGTTCCACATCGCTCTGTGTGATCATCAATGTGTTCTGCGCGGCTTGCTACGGAAAATCCCGAGTTGAGATTCTTGAGATTTTCCGGTGGGGTTCAAAATTGGGTGCCTCCTTCAACTGCTACGACCCATAGTAGCTGGACATTTGGACGATGACCCAAACATCCCGAAACCATTGCCTGTAATGCCCATGCTGCAGAATGCATGAGGGATCAAAAGTGGGCGCGCAGCTGCTGGCACCTCGAAGCAACTCCTGCAGGGGGCCAAACCCCGTTCCAGAAGTGGAATAACAGGAACAACAGAGTTCTTCTGCGCTCACTAGCTCCCAAAAAAGAAGGCTCATAACTCGTGACCTCCTCCTCCCTTTGTTTCTGCCCCACTTGTGGGCTCCTCCTCGAGCACGGCTACCGCTTGCACCGGCCAGTAGCTTTCCAAGCTCGACGCCAACTTCATCGCATTCTCTGCCCGCGGTGACGAACTATCATCTTGCGCCTTGGCCTGTCATGTGGCCGACAAGTCAAGTAACCCGGGCTGGCCCATGGCAAACATCCTGCCCTCTCAGGGACCTGGCTCAGACAATGCAAACGGACCATCTTCAACACGGGGGTTCTGATCAGCTTTCGGACATAGAGAACTTTTTAAGGATGGGACAAACTTGATAGCGAAAGGACTAGCTCTGGCAAAAGGTCTGAGCAATGACAAAGGATAATGACCTCCGGATGCTCACCCTGACTTGGTCGTCATTGCTACACGACCCCAATGTACCTACCGAATTTCAATCCCGTGTCCCTGACAACCGCAGCATCATATCTGTGAAAAAAAAACAGAACTTCCAAAGCCTGGCCAAAGGTATATAGTAGTCACTCACCTATCTATGTCAAAGCCGTACTTTACCAAGTCTAGTGGGAATGATGAGTGTATACTACCAACATTCAACTTGCACTGGCACCTTCTCCAATCTCCTTCTCAGCTCCTCGTTCTCCGCAGCAGCCTCTGCGTAGAGGTGATAAAGCACAGCCACCAACGGCACAAAACAAGCCGCTAAGGCCCAGCCCACATTCGTCCCGCGCTTCTCAGGCGAAGGCATTGGAGTTCGGCTCAGAAAATCACCCGCCGCCAGATCAACGGAAAACCCACCGCTTTTCTTCAGGCAGTTTTGCCAGCTGTCACAGTTCCGTTTTTCATGCCTTCAGATTTCCGAGCCAAGCCCATCTAACTTGAGCCGAGGAGGCTCGGACAGGAGGTTTGATGCATTGGCATCAATGAAGGCAGGAGCCAGGATAATGGCTTTTCTCATTTACCTGGTAGATGGTTTATATAAGCCTGTCAGGATGAGAGGCCATCCAAAGAGCGTACAAAAAGCAAATTGCACTCTAAATAGTTTCTGACATTGTGACCAACCTGTGTGACGCTGTATCATGGAGCAAGGTGCGCTAAAAAGGCGTTAGGCGCACTGAAGTGGCGTGCTTCGCGAAACCTTCGCGCGAACGTGCAGCGAGGGATGACCCCACCTGGTACATGAAGCCGCTGTGTCGGGGAGGCTCCACCACATTCCAGTCAAAGAGGTCCGAGCTGGGGATCTGTTGTGCGGCGCGTTACGCGATTGCACCCGCACGCTTGGATCAAGAAACATGTCACGGATGGTAGAGGTTTTACTGTAATCACCACAGACGTTGGCATCTTGAGCTTAGACCCCTATGACGAATGAGTATCTACATGCAAGCTGAACAAAATGACGACAGTGGAACAAATCGAAGCAAGCCATGGCGGGGGGTCCTTTTTTTAAAATTTCAAAATTTGCTAGCTTGTCTTCACCTCAATGTGTCTCCTTCTGATGTTTGTTTCTTTGTCTTGACGACTTCTCGTGCTCAGTCCAGCGCCTCCAGGAGATCTGCGGGCTGTTGGACCGGGCGCCGAAGCTTGATCCAGTCCAGCAGCAAGGGCCTCCCACGATTTGGTCCCGTGCACCACCCGTTGACCATCCCAAATACTACAGTATTTGGTGACGACCCAAACAACAAGCTGACCAGCCAACGTGATGCACAACCACCTAATCCATACTCTTCACCGGGCATTCATCATCTTTCATCCGCGTTCCTATCAAGTAGCTAGTTACCATAGCATTCCTTCCTCACTGTCTTACTGGATCCACCAGACTGGCGTGTTGGCACCATTCCTTCCACTGAGTGGAACGCCGAAGCTGGATCCTCCGTCCACTCGTGTGAGGTCCGTCTGCACGGGTTCCGCCGGCTGAGCTGCCGTCCTCTCGGTGTCGACAGTGTCTTCCTTCTGACTGACTCTGTAGCGCAGGGTCCAGCTGTAGTCCTCCAAGCACAAACCAGCAGGCAAAGTGAGAAGAACTCCGTGGATTGTTGGATAAGCCACTTCCATCCTTTACAATATCTTGCAACAACCAAACGTTTTCTCAACTCCCATTCTCCAATATAGTATATATGTATACATAAAACTACCGTTTCCAAAGCTGCAGCATTGGTTCCTCGGCCTGTGTCGAGTCATGGCATGTTGAGATGAGGTCGCTACTCTCTCCAATTTTAGTCTGATCCTTTGCTGGTGATGCTAAAAACATTCTTGCATGCAGCATGCCTTGCTGCAATACAAAATGCAAAAACAAAAATGGATGCCGCAACTACCTGCCGGCTCAGGCGACGAAAAGTGGAGTGAGCTAAGGAAGCGCAAAGAAAAGCAGTTTGTACATGATATGGTTCTGCAACTGCGATCACGTCATCCGGGCAGTTCCGTGATCGCATCAATCGATGGAATCTCGGCGTGTGTGTGTCCTTGATAAACAGAAAAAAAATCTCCGGGTTCCGCCTCAGCTTGCCGTTTGCCATTACCGGCTTTCACGCAATCCCTACTGATCCAAAAAACACTTGAGCGACCGGCAAAACTAGGAGGCCCCTGGGTGGAATCTTGAAGGTACTGCTATCGGCTATCGTTTTTTCAATCTGTTGCTGACTTCTATTTGGGAAGTGTCGTCTACATGTAGAGTAAACGACCTGTTCATTTCATGAGTGCTAAGATTTGCAGTGGGCTTGGGAGCGGTGAGAGTGGATGCAAGATCTCCAATAAGCATTCAGAACTGCTACATTGTAGAGTCACTAGAGCGAAAAGGCTTCGGAGAGTGACCGGAGAAGAGAAGCACTATCAGTTGATTGCAAGTTCCCACAATTGCCGCCCTACGATACAAGTGGACAACCGGCTTCTCGAGGCATCCAACCATACAATGCGGGTATCGGTTGGCATCGTTTTCAGTATTGCTTTCACTACTCTGCCATGCCTTGCAGAAAGGCAAGCCAGTATGTGCAAACAGGAAAGACCAAAGGCCAAAGGTATCATAATCATTCATAATCTATCCAGCTTCTACGTACGGGGAACAGGCTGCACATAGATCATCGACATGACGCCAAAATGTGTACAGTCACAAAGCTAGGTTTCATTTTTGGGATTGCTAATGTTTCTTCAAATATAATTAAGACGTCCATGTTTTCTGAAAATAGTAGTAGCAAGAAGCTACTAGGGGCTCCTGGCCTTACTACCAGGAGCAAGGACGCTACTAGGGGCTCCTGGCATCGCTACTAGGAGCAAGAAGCTACTAGTAGCAAGTGAGACCTGACCGTTTGCACTTTGCTCACTTGCAATTCTGCCGACCAAGCGCAAAGGACTGGGCCAAGGGGCTCCCAATCCACTTCCATCATTGAATAAAGGCGCAAAGGACTGGGCCGACTCCACCTCATTTTTGTGCGAATCAAAAAGATTGAGTTTCTAGTCTCTTGGAAAAGAAGAATATAAACTCAGGTCAACCTTCCATTTCGCAGCGGCCTGGACCTCTGGTGGCCTTCTGACAAAGATCAATAGAATCTAACAGCATGTTCCTGTACAAGTAAGTGAATGTTGGAAGATGTTCTCAATTCTGTTTGATTTCAGCCCAAGCTCCAGGGGTGCCGGAGCTTTTGGCTCTGGCGTCAGCTCTTGCTGTTGCTTCACCTGGGCGCAAGATTCCAACTTGAAAGGCAGATTATAGAGGATCAAGCTGACTGTTTGAAGGCTTGGGAATCTCTCGACGGAAAAAAAAAAAAGGAGTATAAAGATTCAAAAGAACACCAGAGTGAATGAAAGGTAGGGACCAGGAAGTTCAAAAACACAAACAATAATACCAGGGGCCATTTGTTAGGCCCAAAGTGTGGATGAAGGCGGAAGGCGGAAATACCGGACAAAATCCCTTTACCACTGTATATATAAATCCATGAACATCAAACATCTGAACAGCTCCGCTGTGGAGTCGCCCCACTCGACATGCCAATGAAGTACCACTAAGCACCCGGCAACCTGTGGGGTCTCGACCTCGGCCTCAGACGCCTCATTAGCTTCAGATCCTCCGACGCGTTGGGTGTCCAAAACATGTTCCACAAGGTTCCACAGGTTGCCAGTGGGATTTGAGGGCGAAAGATGTTTGACCCACTGTCAGATTTCTTTCAGGGAAATGTCTGGTCCAACTTCATCTGTTCAACTTGCTGTGACGCGAAAGCATCACATGGCTTGCGAAAGCATGGGTCAGTCACGAGACTGACCGTGCCGGTCAGTCAGTCCTCCATCTCCAGATAAATCCATCTCAGATAAATGAAAGAATGACTTCAGCTCCTGGAAACGTGGCAAGTCAACACAGCAAAAAGGCACTTGCACATGTCAGAGGAAAGTACTCTCACTGCGACCAAGCACCAGGGTCCAAAGCTGCCCACAAAATGCCCAAACATATGAAACTAGCTGTCAAATGGTTTTGATCAATCCATTCGTCGTTTTGTGACGGTTCAGCTCTAAATGCCCCAAGCTGGATCTGTGTCCTGCTGTGGAATCATATTTTGCCCGCAAGCAAATGACATTATGCACATCTTGTGGTCAGGCATGAGCGTCAGACAACATCAAAAGCCAAGTACAGTATCACCACATCTTGACGTTGTCACTGGGTTTCAAGTCTAAGTGTCTAACTTAGTTGGTGGAGAGAACACATACCGGCAAGGCTATCAAGAGCCGTTGCTGATCGTTCTCATTGAAATCCTGAGCGGTTTGCTGAACACGCAGGACGCTGGTACTGGAGAAGAGTGAGCCCCACACTGCTAAAGTCTTGCCTGTTCGTGGAGTCTGCTGGTCCCTCACTTCTGCATGGGCCATGTCATCCCTTGCCACGGGAGGCTTCGTGGATCTTAACAACGACCTGGCGCTGGCACAGCTATGTTCTCCACGCTTGGTCAAGAGCCAAGCAGAGCGGCTAAGACCCCTTTCTCGGTAAGCCTGGTTGCGTCAAAAAGTCCACGATCTTCGAGTGGCCTGTGGAGCCGAGCTTGGAACACTTGGAGACGCAAAGTCCCAAGGGTTGCGAAAAATGCAAAGCCTAGACCACTGGATAAAACAACTTTATTTATCCCCCCGCACTTCACGGTCTTCCGTGAACCTCTCAAACTGGAAGTCCCCAAAAAGAAACCTCTCTCTCTGTCTGTTTTGGCACCCATGAAATCTGTCTCCCGTTAATTCCCTGCCATGTTTTCACCCAATCCTGACCTCTCTCCTCCGCCACGGCCAGCGCTCCCTCCACTCCAGCAAAGCCTCGCCGCAGGTCCGCATGCCGCGCTTGGTTTGGGTCGAGGTGGGCACCACCGGGCACCAAGTGCTGCAAGATGTGGAGGTGGCCCTGTGCGGCGGCCAAACCCAAGCAGCACCAGCCCTGAAGGGCAAAACCAGAAGTTTGTACATCCCATGACTCCTGGACCAATCCCAAGCAAGCACAACACCTTCTTCAACATCATTAGTTCTTCTCCCTTCTTTTCACTTAGCTCTTTGTTTCAAACTTCAGCCTCTGAGGTCTTTACACCTGCATCAGCCCCATGCTGCATCAAGAGCTTTAAGACCTGACGACCGGACGACGGATGGAGCACTGGTGCTCCAACAGCACCAACCGATCAGCGGAGAACTTCTACACATCTGGGTAGTAGGATAGCCCATGATGTTGCAAGTTGTATCGATTGTGTTTCCATGTTTTCCTATATCTGCTCTTCTTTTACATGTGGCGTGTATACATGTGTTCTTTCCCACACATATAATCTGCGCATATGATTTTCAAAACCAAAGAGGCATGGGATTCATCTGCTTTTTGAGAGATGAGGAACGTCATGCCAATCAACGATCAATTCCCCAACCTTTTCATGTGCAAATTTGGCAAATGAAGCGAAACTGCCTAGACCGAAAACACCCATTTTGTTTCCCTTACCAAGGTGTCCCCATATTACGGGTTCTACTACAACAACATACTACCAAGTGTTGAGTGGCTCAATCTGCTAAAAGCACTTCCCCCATGCCCCACTTTTGCCGCCAGGTGCCTCCAGGTGCCCTGCTTCAGCCGCCAGGTGCACCGCCTGGAACCCCAGCTCCCGCTCCGCCGCCGCGACGCCGTCGCCGCCACCGGCGCCGGCGTGGGCGTCGAGCGCCGCTCGGGCGGCTCGGCGATCGCCCAGGAGGGCCGCGCGCAGCAAGGGCCGGTCAAGCCAGCGGACGAAGAGGTTCAGGGCAATGGAAAGCCTGGCGAGCCGTGCCGATGGGAGAAAGCACCGAAAATAGCATGGTTGACCATGTTTGTATGCTCTGTGCCCTCAGAAAGGTTTCGACCCTCAGATGAGTAAGTTTAGAAGAGGCGTTGGAAGACACGGAAGATCAAACAGCAGCGCTTCTCCTTGCCCATAGGCCGGCCCGAGATTCAAGATGAGATGTTCAACAAGATGTTCATCGCTTGAGAACCAAAAGTAAAGTCCCAAGTCCCCAACTATCATTGTTTTGCCTGTCCATGTGTACATCAAAGACTTCCAGACTGCAGGGGTCCATAGCAATCGCCCAACATTGTCATCCCATGTCATCCCGCCTTGGACCACCTGCCCAGACCGGATCCACCTCATGCAGGAGGTCCGTGGGGAAGAGCACCACTCGCCCTGACTGCGGAGCGACCTCCACCGCGGAGCCACCATCGTAAAAGCGTGCGTTGGCCGGACCCGAAGACTCTTGCTGCGGATAGTAGATCACAGACGCGGCACGGGAGAGAAGGGGCGGGCCATGCTCATGCCTTGGTTGGTGCGGCCAGGCTCTGACAGCAAAGGACGACGAAACCAAGGGGAGACTCGCAACACAAAGGATGAACTGTAGTGTTTTTCTTGCTGAGCTGCAGCTGATTATAGTTCCCTGGTCTGTTCACGTTCACCCAAAGATGCTCTACTTGGCATGCCACGCTGAGACTCCTGCCCAGATCTGGAGGCGCTACGCCCCGGCGTCGTTTGAAGAGAAATTTGCACAAAAGGCCTCTCAAGCGGGAAAGAAGTGTTTGGAGTCCTGGGTGGGACGTCACAGGAAGATTTTGGCTTTGAAATCCACCCACGTTGCTGACCACTCTCCCCTCATCTTGCTCCACAGCCAAGCACCAGTCAGCCAGCTCCATGGCCAAGGTCTCATTTTGAAGGTCCACCACCAGCACAGAGCTGCTGACCCATTGGCCGCCCTGGCCGCCTTGACCGCCTTGACCGCCTTGGCCCTTGCTCGACCCATCGGACCACTCCGGCAGCTCTGAGCACGAGGCACCCGTGGCATGCAGCGGCCCGAGGCGCGAGTCGACGAAGCGAGTCGCTCGTGAGGATCGAAGCACCACCAGTGGCACACCACCAGGGGAAGATGCCAGAAAGACACTGACACAGAAAAGGCTTCTCAGCGAACTGCGTCGTCCCTTTTGGTGGACATCCATGTGAGCTACATGGGTGTGAGCTAAAAGGGCCGAGAAAGTGGACATCGAAACTCCAGGAAGCCAAAAAGCTGTGCTCTTTCTTCCACCGAGTTCAGCCCACGCTGTCCTCTTCGTCCAAAAAGGAAAACGCTCACCACGCTCTGGAGGCAACAAGTCCCCACGCTCGCGCGAGACGCTCTCCTGAACTTTGGAAAGTCCCCAGGTGGCCACGGAGCCCGCGAACCCTTCGGCAGCCTCGAACAGCCGGGAACCCCACGATTGGGCTAAGCGCGGCAAGTTTGCAAATCCGTTTGGAGAAGCCTTTAAACTTGAGACGGCTCTTAGCAAAAAGACTGATCATCAGCGGACCCCACCTTGACTCCATGTGCAGCACCAGTGACCGCAGAAGATGAGAAGTTGGAAAGCGCACCCTGCAACTGAATCTGATGAATCTAAACCCTGCAACTTCAGGCAGAACATGGTCTCTCTCGCAGTCTGAAAGCACCACCTGAAGCTTTCCAAACCAGGCCGATCTCTTCATGTAAGAACCAGGACCAAGGTGAGTTGTGGTGCGGACAAGACAAGATTCTTCTGCCAGGGCACCGTTACTGTTTCAATGGCACCACTTGTGGATGTCGTGTCATATGGAGCTCCAAAGAGAGCAGCATAAATCGCATCCTCAGAACAATTGGAAGGTAGAGAAATGCAGCAAAAGGGTTTCAAGCTCCAAAATATGACTTCCATGTTTAAAGGAGCCTCTCAAATACATCCATTGTGCTTATACCATTCTGACATCAACAAACAAGTTAATCTTATCTAGGAAAGAGGTGGCAGCTCGAGTCAACTGTGATGCATCTTGAAATAAATATCCTCTCCATCTCTAGGTGGTCCATTTGCCAGCCAATTCAGCGCTGCGAAAAACGGAAGCTTCAAGTTCTCGCAACAGTCTTGGCATCCCCACCTTGACAGCCAGAAAGGCCAGTGACCGGGAGGATGGCCGTTGATCCGGTTCCTGCGCCTGTGAGGCATCCAGGTGGCTGCCCACCGTACTGTACGATCAAACCAAACCTGACAGGGCCTCGGTTTCAACTCTGTCGCATCTTGAGCCTTCGTTTCGCAACTTAGCAAACCTCACCGTTCTCCCTCAGCCTCAAATGAGCACTCAACATCCCTCGCTGGGCCTGTCGTTCCCGTAGCCGGTTTGGCCGCAGCCGTCTCGGCAGCAAGAAGCTCTGGCTCACCTAATAGGTTTGACACGGAGAACCAAGTGGTTTGCTGTTTCGGAAACAGGAGAAATCGTCTCTTACATTTAATATGATAATCACCACGGTCATTGTAGCTCTGCATGAGAAAAGAGCACCTTGTGGTACAGTGATACACACTCTATATATGCTACAGCATACACACGTTTGATAAAGCCCTGGGCTCACACGAAACAACTTAAACCAAAAAAAATGATCACCGAGGGCAAGACCAGGGGGGAACTGTCTTTCACCCCAAGCGAAAGCCCCTTGAGACCCCATAGTAATCCCCCCAACTCGGCCTGCAACAGGATCAACGCCACCAGTGCCACGGCCCAAGTGATGCGTCGCCTGCCTCTTCGAGGTCGGCCTCGCGAAGCAACCAATGCGGAGACATCGGAGGTATGGTGGGGAATGGGAAAAATGAGAGATGAGAGGAGATGTTTCTCTAGGAACATCCACTGCTGCCCTGAAAATCCTGAAAAAGGTATATATCTTCTCCAAAAAGTGCTCATCCGACTCCTCCCCCGGACCTCATCCATCAAGTCTAGGTATACACCGCACTGTGAAAGAGGCTCCTGCCTCTGCCGCAGGGCCAGAGGACCGCCATCTTTCGACGGTCTGGTTTTGGGTCGCGGCTCTGCGGCCCAAGCGGCCCAAGGGATCAAGGTGTGATTTCGGTTGTGTTTGATGAGGTGTTTCTACTGCTTTTGCACTCTGATTGTCTCAGATGCAACATCATGCAACCTCTCTTTCAGCCACATCTCTTCTTCTTGACCCATTCGCTGCTTCTAGGTTCAAAGGGCCGTCTTTTGAAGTGCGCAGGTCCTACGTGCCTCTGGACTCACCCTTCCCTTTCTTTTTTGAGCCAAGCTGGTTTTGGGCGTCCATGGCTTGGGAGGTGGTCAGGTTCCGATTGCGAAAACACGTCGAGTCCTGACTCACGGGAGAAGTTGGTTCAAAAGCCCGCCCGCCTCCTGAGCCTTCAGGAATTCCGGGACTCTCAAGACAAGCCTGCGAGCGAGCGTTTACCGTCCAGCCAGCGTTTGCGTGTCCATGTTCGGTCAAGCAGAGTTCCAGAAATGGAGAAAGAGGATGAAATGGAGAAAAATGATGTCTTGGGGGATTGTGCATGAAACAGTCACTCGGGTGCCACCTGCAGATCAACATGGATGCACAGACCTCCATGTCATGTCCAGCACTGCTGCTAGCGGATTCCTCCAACTGGAGGCCTCAAACATCGAAGCACCTCCCACACACAAAAAGCCCAACAAATCAAGACCCTCTTGTGCTCCTCACCAGCTCCTCAGCTTTTTTGGGGGGACCGTCTTCAGGGTGGCGGTTGCGCCCCTGCTGTTCACCCACCCACCAGCCCTTCACAAATCGGCGTCTTCCGACAAGCGTCCAGCTTCGGGGCACCAGGGCCCCCTCAACGCCACCTGGCCGTGAGGTGAGGAGTGCACTTCGGCAGAAAGATAATAAACAGGCCAGAAAGGGTGATAAAGCATATGAACATATAATTCACTGTTTCCGGATGCACCACGAGTCTTTCACAGCTGAAAGACCAAGGTCACTGGAAGCCTTTCCCTCGTCTTTACATCCATCCGCCTGCTGTGTTGGTGGCACCAGCACCCAAGGGATTGTACCCGCCGGGGCTTGAACTCACAGCCTCACAGGGGTACTCGCAGCGGTGCCACCGACCAAATCCCGGCACAGGGCACAGGGGGAGGCCGGGGAGGCCTGTCCAGATCCGCCCGGAGGCAGTTCGCCCCTGGAAGGCTTCAAAATAGAAAGAGATCCGAAAACAACATACAAAAATGGCTGCGGCAGAAGGCCAGTGCTGCAGGAAGGGTCATCCACCCCCTGGTGTATCATCCAAAACACGGGGCTACAAGAATTTATAAGCTGTACATGTGGGTACACGGTTCTGAACTGGTTGGACGAGCCACAGTTCCTGTCTTACATACTAACTGAGCCGTGATGCTGAGCTGTGCACGGGCTCCAGCAACTGGCAGCCGTAGCTCAAGGAAACGACCTCCAAAGTGTGACTCAAAGGGGGGGGACCTTTGAAATGCTCTACCGTGTAGCAATGTATGTTAGCATAAATTGAGTTCTCAAGCAGGGAAGTTCTCAAAAGTCGCCAAAGTCTGAATGCAAAGTCCCAATTCCGTGGCCCCTTCAGTCGGGTGGGTTCGAAACGAATGAACGTGTCGGCGGTTCCGAACGATCGCAGGCCGAAGGATCTGGTGTTGGTGAAGGATCTACTAGCGTCCTTGTTACTACTAGTAAGGCACTTGTTACTAGTAGCGATGCACCTGTTACTAGTAGCTTCTTGTAACTACTAGTAAGGCACTTGTTACTAGAAGCGATGCACTTGTTCCTAGTAGCGAACCTTGCTCCTAGTAGTGAGTTGGCACACATTGTTTGGAGGGGCAAGAAATGCCGCCACGCTCAATGGTGGAGTGTTCGACATTGAGAAGCTGCAACATCCTTCAAGGGAGGCCGTTGCTTCATGTGAAGCAACCCCCAAAAAGAAGTTAACACACCATTCATCGAAATCAAACGAGACATCAAGGTGCTGGATGCAGATATATAGTTTTGCTCCGAATCCGTCTTCGGAGGCAGAAGAGCGACATCACGATGTCTTCAACGAAGAAACACAGCGACGAGCCTCGGTGTCCGAAACCCTGTTCACCGAGCCTCTGGCACCCCAATCTCACTGCTCAACCTCGTGATCGATCGAACTCCGGCCAAACCGGCAAAAATCGGCAAACCCAACGGAGCACATGTAAACCCACCATGGCATGTGAATCCACCATGGTTTTGGTCTGCACTCATTCGTATTGGCCATTCACATTTGGTCAGTGACCTTTGGAGTCTTGGATCCGAAGGAAAGTGAAGGGGTGAAACCGAAAAGACCTGAACAACCTTCAACTCCACGCAGCATGCCTTTTGGCATTTCGTGGAAAGTGCATATCAAGATCTAAGAATTGTTGGATTTCTGTCAAAACCCTTGGGTTCTTTTTGGCAAGAATCTCCCATGAACCTAATAGCGTGTCATGAAACGTTCGTGGGTTTCCCCGCCTCTCAGCTAGGGATCGGAAGCCTTCTTTCTGTCCGGCCTCCTGGCGGACTCGGCGAAAGGAAAAAGGTTGATTACAAAAAGGGTTCCTTGAACAAATACTCCTGAAAAGAAGGACCTTGACTTAAACAAGACTTATGATGTACAGATGTACACTAAAGCTAGTTCTGATGACCCAGCAAAACATCGAATAAGCACAAACAAGGCAAAAAACATACAACACCAATGCCGCAAAAAATGCACAGAAAACGCAAAAACTAGTAACTAGTCACCAAGGAAAGCGTTGGAATGCAAAAAATGCAATCAAAATGCAACAAAACCTAAACTGTCCACTTTAAAAATGCCAAAAAAAAAAAAGTTGTCCCGGCAAGATACCCCAAACAGTGTGTGTGAGGTCTGTAAGCAGAAAGTCTAGAGATCCAGACGCATTGGGGTCCAGAGAGGTGATGGCGGTGATGAAGTGAAGGTGGGTGTGAGTGAGTGTGGGTGAGAGGGAGTGTGAGTGTGCGTGAGAGTGGGAGAGTGAGTGTGAGTGTGAGTGCAAGTGAGAGTGAGTGTGGGCGAGAGTGAGAGTCAGAGTGAGTGTGAGTGTAAGTGAGCGTGAGTGAGAGTGAAGGTGGGGCTTAGTGACTGTGGGTGAGAGTGAGAGTGAGTGTGAG